CTCTGTCGCCCAGGCTGGAGTGCAGTAGCATAATCTCAGCTCATTGCAGCCTCCGCCACTGGAGTTCAAGCAATTCTCGTACCTCAGCCTTCCAAGTAGCTAGGATTACAGGCATGCATCACCACACCCAGCTAATTTTTGTATTTTTAGTAGAGTCGGCGTTTCACCATGTAAGCCAGGCTGCCTTGAACTCCTGACCTCAGGTGATCTGCCCGTCTCGGCCTCCCAAAGTGCTAGGATTACAAGTGTGAGCCACTGTGCTCGACCCTATTACTTTTTTTCTAAAATATTTTAGAGTAAGTTGTGAAATAATGCCCCATTAACTCTAAATACTTCTGTGGTTGTTCTTTATTTTAAAAATTTTAAATTTTTAATTAACTTTTTAAAGAGACAGGGTCTTGCTCAGTTGCACAGCCTGGAGTGCAGTGGCCAGATCATGGCTCACTGTAGCCTCTAACTCCTGGGCTCATGGGATCCTGCCACCTCAGCTTCCTGCGTAGCTGGGACCACAAGTGTGCACCACCACTTACGGCTAATTTTAAATTTTTTTTGTAGAGACAGGGTCTGGTGATGTTGCTTAGGCTGGTCTTGAACTCTGGCCTCAAGAGATTCTCTTGCCTCAGGGTCCCAAAGTGCTGGGATTACAGGCATTAGCTATCATGCCCAGAAGTATTTTCTTTTTTTTTTTTTTTTTTGAGACTGAGCCTCTCTCTGTCACCCAGGCTGGAGTGCAGTGGTGCGATCTCGGCTGACCACAACCTCTGCCTCCCAGGTTCAGGCCATTCTCCTGCCTCACCCTCCTGAGAAGTTGGTATTACAGGCACGCGCTAACATGCCTGGCTAATTTTTGTATTTTTAGTAGAGACAGGGGTTTCACCATGTTGGCCAGGCTGGTCTCGAACTCTTGACCTCGTGATCCACCTGCCTTGGCCTCCCACAATGCTGGGATTACAGGTGTGGGACACTGTGCCCAGCACTTTTTTCTTTTTTGAGACAGGGTCTTGCTCTGTTGCCCAGGTGGGAGTGCAGTGGCACGCTCACAGCTCACTGCAGCCTCGACCTCCCCAGCTCAAGCAATACTTTTACCTCATCCTCCTCAATAGTTGGGACTACAGACTCAGTAGTTGGGATTTACCTCAGTAGTTGGTGGAATAATTTTTTTATTTTTTGTAGAGATGGGGTCCCACTCGGTTGCCCAGACTGGTCTCTAACTCTTGAGCTCAAGCAACTCTTGAGCCTCAGCCTGCCAAAGTGGTAGGATTATAGGGGTTAACCACCACACCCCGCTCCAGAGGGGTTAACTCCAAGTACTTCAGTGGGTGTTTTCCCATCACCATGGCACACGTTTACCTATGTAACAAACCTGCACGTCCTGCACATGTAGCATATGTATCCCAGAACTTTAAATGAAATGAAAAAAAAAAATAAATAAAAAAGAAATTGCCACAGCCACGCCAACCTTCAGCAGCCATCCACATTGAGACAAGACCCTTCAGCAAAAAAGTAGTAACTCTGAGGTCTAAGATGACTGTTAGCATTTATTAACAATAAAGTATTTTAAAATTACAAAAAAAAGAAAACATGGTTTGTAGTATGCCAAAAATTTGCATAATCTTAATTTAATTATGAATAAACATCAGACAAACCCATAGTGAGGTACAAGCTACAAAATTACTGGCTTGTACTCTTCAAAAATGTCAAGGTAATGGAAGCCAGACTGAGGAATCCTTTCAGATTAATCGAGACGTGGTAACTGATCCCCAGTCAGAAAAAAATATTATTTTGTTGCTATAACAAGCATTATGGGGGTAGGGTGGGAGCGCATGTCCTCAGGACCTCCTCAGACTGACTTGAAAAAAAAAAAAGCATTATTGTGTGGCTCGTGCCTGTAATCCTAGCACTTTGGGAGGCTGAGGTGGATGGATAGCTTGAAGCCAGGAGTTTCAGACCAGCCTGGGCAATGTGGTGAAAACGTTTTTAGAAAAATACAAAAAAATTTAGCAGAGCATGGAGATGCGCATCTGTAGTCCCAGCAACTCAAGAGGCTAAGGTGGGAGGGTAGCTTGACCCCGGGGAAGCTGAGGCTGCAATGAGCCATGATCGTACCACTGCACTCCAGCCTGGGCGATAGAGCAAGACCTTGTCTCAAAAACGAAAAGAAAAGAAAAGAAAAAAAAGACCAATTTTGAAATATCTGTAGATTAAGGAATAATACTGTATTCATCTTTTTTTTTTTTTTTTT